TTTTTCGGCTGACAATATTATGTATAATCGACTAAACATATCCATTCAATTATTTTGGTATTATATATATTGTTGGAACTGTTTAACTATCTTGTATGTACAACATAATATCTCATTGTGGTACTTATAGCTTACCATCGTGTACGTACAAGAAAGTATCTTCACACAGCATACTATTGTGTACGTAGTAATAAGTTGTACGTACCAGAATGAGATGATATGCTGTACTTACAAGTATGATAATTTTAAATTAAATTTAAAGGTGACGCGTATGTGCCTCCTAAGTTGTACCATTTTAACCAGATAGCTTAGCAAATGTACCACTGTTGGTAATATGCACGCCCTTACATGAGTTAATCAGCGTGGACATTTCAGATATATCATTGTCTACACTAGTGAATTAGTCAACAATTATAAAACGCGAGACTATATAGCTAGTGGCCTTGGGTGTCGCACTGATTTGAACTTATCCGTTTGTTTAGCAACTTAGTGATGCCATGAGTAACTCATTAATTAAACAGCAACGATGTTATGGTGTTATTTGTTCTTTTGTACGACAAACTATTACATGAAGTACTGTACTGTAGGTACAATGTCTAAAGACTAGATATTGTGCGTCCCTACATTTATTTTTTTACGGTGGACCTCTCGTATCCCCCTTACGGGCGGGACGCCAAATTAGGTAATAATGAACAAGCCCCCTGTGGATTCATACATTTGTCATCACCAGGTTGACCCAATAATAATACCATCTGACTTCTAAAACACGCTGTTGATAGAGAATTTGAACCGAAACTTTAATTTTCTTTTCAGTACACAAAAAAAGTCTTTGGGCCATACTTAAAATATGTTTTTTTCTTCTTGTTAATTAAACATAAAAACAATCCTCAAAACACGGGAAATCGCTTCTGAGACGTTCTAGAAAACACATTTTTTGTGGGGGAAACCCCCCAAACCAGCCTACGGGAGGGGGAAGACACTCTCCCGTACCCTCCCCCTGCTCGCGCTACGCGCTCGGTGTGCTGCCGAAGGTGTTGACTATTGAGAAAAAATTATTGGCCCCCCCTTTTAAGAAATCCTGGATCCGCCCCTGATCAGATCATTTGATTAGAAAGATAAATTATTGTAGTTTCTATCGACGACAACTTGTTCTGAATTAATTTCTTGCTGGGATTTAAAACCCACTTTCTTGGATTTGGAGGGTCCAAGCGCGAGCTTTGTTGTGTGCTGCTTGGGCCTGCTGATAGTCTTGTTGATTTATCAGCAATATTTACATATAGCGGGTTTTTAGTAACCGACGTCGTCGCAGGGATTGTGTCACCTTTTAAATCAGTATCACGTGATTTTGGCTTGAAGAAGGTGTCTATCTTCTTTGAAATATTGGAAGCCTTCTTCATTTTGAAAATTTACTTCTGACAACATACTATCACACCGGAAATACCGGATTGGAAGTAGTAGACGACCACGACATATTAGATATTCCGGTATTTAGTTAAAATTAATACAAAGGTCAATTAAGATATTATCTTGATAACATGATGTCATATTTTGTTTTTTATTTCTGTGGCTACTTTTTTGACACATGGCATACACGGATTTTTTATGTGAAAGCCCGGTCTTTTTTTCTATGGNACCACTGGGACGCTACGCCCCTGGACTATCTGAATCTGAAGAGCCACTTAAAATAAAAAATACCTTTTTTAGTGTCCAGAAGCAATAATTGATCGACGATACTGTAACCGTACATGTATGTAATATATTGTGGTGAATTTTGGGGAGAGTTATCTCCCTTAGACCTATAACCGCGCCGACAACCTCGATGTGACATCTCGGCGCGCACACACCGAATTCACGACAATATACGTATCTCAGTGGTACAATTGTATGTGAGGTTTTTAGCGTGAACAAAATACATGTAATATTCGAAGAATAAAGGAAAGTATACATGTCCATAAGGAAGCCGAAGTCGAAACGTTCCGGAAAATCGATTTCAATTTTTATTTTACAATCGCCTCATATCACCACCGGAAGTGTTTTTGGGTCGTAGGTTACAATCGAAGCTAATCCATGCACAGCTTGATGAGGTATGCTAATACTTTTTCAGATACTGGTGTAGTGACATTTATTTAAAAACCGTCTGTATAAACTGGTCTCTGAAAATACGTTACCTGTTTTACATTTTTTTACTAGCATACGACGAGAGGACAGTTCTTCTTAGCCCGAGTTTCCGCTGCCGCTGGCCCAGACTTGGACATTTTGACAGATTATATTTTAGTATTTCACATGATAATTTCTAGGATAGCTATTGGATAACTACTCTTGTTCTATTTGGTATAGTTAGCATCCGCCCTTGGCAACGGGAACTATACCTGGAGACGGCGCGGGCACTATACCTTTTTTTGGACCGCTGAGACCCAGGTCCAGTACACTGCCGATTGAGCTATATAAGTTAGCTATAATAGCATTTTTGACCTATCTTTTGAGCTATTTTCATGTGATTTTCTTTTTTAAGGAAAACAAAACAAAGTCGCTTTTAAAAGAAGATTTATTCATTAGGTTGATAACAAAAGACATTAAATATAGGTATTCTTTTAAAAAAATAATTATGTAAAAAAGTCGAAAATTTAACATTTATGAAAAATGAAAATAAACATCTTAATTTATGCTTTTTGTAGTCAACATTGCTATACAGCTTATTGTTTTATGCGACTTTGTTTTGATTTAATCGAAATTGAATTCTGAGAAAATATAGCTCAATACAGCTATAATTTATAGGTGAATATAGCTATATAGGTTTTTATAGCTATATAGCTCAATTGGCAGAGTGTACTAGACCTGGAGACTGCCGGAAACGTAGGGTGACGCTAAGAATTGCGGTGATTTGTACTGTTCTTGTGATAATGTCCTATATCTTGTTGTCATCGATAATTTATGGTATGCGCATATTTGTTGGTGACAAGTTTTTATAGTTAAAAGTGCACACTAACGCTTTTAGTGTGTTGATTTAAAAATTCAATGTTGTGTACAAATAAAATTCCTGATATATATAGTTGCAGATTTTTAGAGGTAGCAAAACAAATTCACTTACTAAGCGATTCAATCCAGTGAATTGAATAGCCAAAAAAAAGGAGCTATCTACTCAAAAAAATATCTTATTGCCATTTGTTGTTAATTATTAAATATGCTATCAATGAAGTTCCTCATGTTTGTCTTTTTATTGTCAAATTACAGTCATGTGATGTACTAAATCTATTATGACCCTTTCCCTCGGGAACAGTTCTCTTATAGTTCTGGCCGTTGCATTTTCTTTTTCCTGTTACATAAATATTATAGTTTTTTTTACCTCTTCCAGATGTTTTTCTAGTGTTTTTCAATCCAGTAAAAACATTAAATAGTAGAAAAGCTATTTTTACACATGTTTTTGAGTTTAATAGGGTTGATTTACTTTTTTTTGCTTTCCTTTTATTCAAAATTCTCGCAGACGTTAACTAAATTTTCATTTTCACTACCCAAAAAGTGATGATGTTAAAAACTTGTGGTATGAACACAGCGATAGGCAAAAGGTCAGGGCACAGAAACAGGTGTATCCCAAAAACAGGTCCTCGGATGATTCAATATGTGTACATATATAGGGTTATTGAGTTCAAATAAAAAATCAAACCACATTTTGGTAATTAGCCCGCTTTTGAAATTGGACATTATTTTTTGTATACCTGTAGGTAACATCTTGCCGGACATGTAGCCACACATCTGATCAAGGATGGTATATCAAGAGCTAATGCAATCGTCCAGTCATGTTACCAGTCTAGCTTCGTCCCTGTACCAGCTACAGCAGCGGGGTTACATCTGCGACTGTACCATCCAGACATGCCAGGCAAACCTTAACGTCCACCAGGTGGTGCTGCTGGCAAGTGGCAGTCCTTACTTTCGAAAACAATTGTGTCGAGTGACTAACACTGGTCAGGTGGATTCCAGTTCTGTGCTTCTCAAGGATCAGGACTTGTTTGTTGTTCAGGCTGTTGTCCAGTTTATGTACACGGGGGAGATGTACATAACGCCATGTAATGTGGACAAAGTTTTCAATGTGTGCAGTCTATTGGGACTCGAGGAGGCTGTCAAACTCTGTCAGATGTTCAGACAGACACATAAATGTAGTACTGACCAGGAAACATTAAAGGAAACTGCAGATTCAGGCCTGGAATCTTCTATGCTTAAAGAAAAAAGTTCTCTAGAGGTGCAAAAACATTTTAGATCAGAAAACATTGTCCTACAGAAAAATATCATATCTCGTGCTGCTAAGAACGATGTCACATTCGTTGACATGGCGCAACCTAACATTCCTTCTTCAACTAGGCGTAGAGAGGGAAGTGACAAGGGGAAAATTGATACAAATTTTAACCTTTCTAGATCTGATGAGGGCAACAATGATAACTCTGATATCCAAACTAAAGAATTCTGTGAGGATGAAGATGGCAAACAAGAGGCAGAATATGCAGCCCCTCTTCTCAGATCAACTGCAGCTCGAGCAAACAAACCTGACTCAAAATCTCAACAGGATTCTATTATTCTAAGGTCTCAGAAAGCAAAATGTTCACTTACAAAATCTGATGATGTAAAAACAATACATAAAGGGTTTCGAAGTGGAGATGATTTGAATGACAATAAGAGCCAAGGCAAAGGAAAACGGTTCAATAAAAAAAGGAAAACTATGGAAGGGAATATTTCTAATGATCTTGAAGATGGAAAACAAACAAAAATATTAAGACTGACACCGAAAGGAAACATTACTGAAAGTAATAATGTAGAAGATATATGTAGGAGCTCAAGTGTAAGATGCGATCTAACAAAAACAAGTGAAAATTTAACTCATGACCAAACATTTAACCCAACTACAAGCAACTCTGGCGAGAAGCAGAGAGGCCAGTCGTTTGTTTTGAACTTCTGTCGATTCTGTACAATCAGGTTTACGGACAAAGAGAAGTTCCAGGAACACAAGAAAGAGTTTCATTTGTTTACATGTGAGGTGTGCGGATGGAGCAGTAACCGTGGCCTTAACCTAGCCTCCCACATGTACAACCAGCACGCCATCCACCACAAACCAGAGAAGTACCCACTCCACCGATGTGACCAGACGGTGAGTTACATTGTCTTCATCAATGTAGGTCACAGGGTCATTTTTAGCTTGTTTGTGTTTTACGTCCTTTTAACAGCTATGGTCATTTAAAGACCTGTCAGGTGGTGGTGGTGGAGGAAAGCTGGGAGTTCCCAGAGAAAAATCACCAACCTACGGCCAGTAACAGGCGACTGCCCAAGGGAGGCCTTGAACCAGGGACTCAGTGGTGGAGGGCTAGTGGTAGCAGAATGTCGGACGCCTTAACCACTTGGCCACCGGGGTCAGGGTCATGTCAATTGCTAACTAGAACTGTAAGCTAAAGGCTAAATACCCCGCTCCTATATAAACCAGAACTGTGCGCTAAAGGCTTACTTATGCAAAGCAATATAGTCTCTCTCCCACCAGTAATGAGTTATGGTTATCACTATTTTATTAAAAACCAAAAAATAAAATAACAAAAAAATACACAAGTATTTCACACAAAGGGGCATAACTCCATCAAAAAGGGTTGAAATCCCAAATTAAAATGCCAGTGCACAACAACATAAGATACCGATCATTCATGCATGCAAAGTTACAATGAAATCCAACTGTTAGTTAAGGTAATGGGATTGTGTCACCATTCCACAGTAGAATTTCTTCAAATTTTGTAGTTATATTGCTTTAAAGTAAAGAAATTTTTCTGCCACAAAATAAATATAGGTTGTCAGAATTTTAAGGATTTTAAATGGAAATTTATGTAAAAAGGAGTGAATTTTGAAAAAAAAATGAAAGACACAATATTTTTACAAAATAATGTCAATAAAAATGATACTGACATATATTAGTATTGCATTAATGTATATCAATTTAATAAATGCTGAAATTGTGTAAAATTAATTCTCTATACACGATATAAAAGTTGACATTTTATAATAAAACCATATACACAGTAATTCCAGGTAAGAGTTATCGTTCTTGAAAAACTTCACATTAGTGAAATAGGTAGCCGGGTTCCTGAAATAGAAAAAAATGGACACATGTGACTCATTGATAAAAAAACCCTGAATTAATGCCTGGATTGCTTTTAAATACTTTAATATTGAGAGAACACACTGTTCTGTCAATAATAAACATACAATATTCATCAGGTTAATATTAAACATTAGAATTTGTGGAAATTGTGATACTGTCTCCCTACATTTGATTTTCAACTAGGGATGTACTTCCTGTTTCCGTTTATCAATACACTCCAATGACCTTAAGGAGAAGTTGCACGGACAATTATATTGCAAAAAGGGGCATAACTCCATCAAAAAGGGACCAAATCCCAAATTAAAATGCCGGTGCACAACGACATAAGATACTGATCATTCATGCAAAGTTTCAATGAAATCCACCTGTTAGTTAAGGAGGAGTTTTCCGGACAAGTGTTTTGCAAAAAGGGGCATAACCCCATAAAAAGGGGAGAACTCCCAAATTAAAATGCCGGTGCACAACTACATAAGATACCGATCATTTATTCAAAGTTTCAATGAAATCCACCTGTTCGTTATGGAGGAGTTGCGCGGACAAGTATTTCGCAAAAAGGGGCATAACTCCATCAGAAAGGGACCAAATCCCAAATTAAAATGCCGGTGCACACCTACATAAGATCCTGATCATTCATGCAAAGTTTCAATGAAACCCAGCTGTTAATTAAGGAGGAGTTTTCCGGACAAGTATTTTGCACAAAGGAGCATAACTCCATCAAAAAGGGACCAAATCCTAAATTAAAATTCTGGTGCACAACTACATAAGATACTGATCATTCATGCAAAGTTTCAATGAAACCCAGCTGTTAATTAAGGAGGAGTTTTCCGGACAAGTATTTTGCAAAAAGGGGCATAACTCCATAAAAAAGGGTAGAAATCCCAAATTAAAATGCCGGTGCACACCTACATAAGATCCTGATCATTCATGCAAAGTTCCAATGAAATCCACCTGTTAATTAAGGAGGAGTTTTCCGGACAAGTATTTTGCACAAAGGAGCATAACTCCATCAAAAAGGGACCAAATCCTAAATTAAAATTCTGGTGCACAACTACATAAGATACTGATCATTCATGCAAAGTTCCAATGAAATCCACCTGTTATTAAGGAGGAGTTTTCTGGACAGGTTACTGCGGACGACAGACAGACATCCAGACAGGGTGATTCCAGTATACCCCCTAACTTCGTTGCGGGGGTATAGAAATTTGAAAGATATATAAAGAACTACTACTCGAATATATGCAGCGACCCCAACATATTGTACAAAGTATTTTTTCTACATTAATTTTACAATAGTTAGCCTAAAATTGTTGTTCTAAATAGGTTTTTGGGAAAATATTCATGATTTTCTTGAAATTGGAAAGATATTCTTCCTTTTTGGGAAAATAAAGCACTTTTTTACTTCAGGAAGCATGCTGATAATCAGATGTAAAAGAAGGCAAAAAGATCACCGATACATGAATTTACATATTCAGATTTATTGCATGTGACATGAAACTGACGCGGCATCATACTCTTTTAAAGTACTACGGTACTGTAATATATGCTGTGGCGTCCATAGATATATAAATATATCTTTAGTTTTATAGAATGTACAATGTAACATGCATGTGTCTTTTAAACTAGATGCTTGATTGATTGTTATGATGAGTGTAACAGTATCACAACAACAAATCTATGTGTAACAAATAGTTTTTCATTTTCATTTTGGTTTGGATGTGTAAAATAAACCTCTTTTACTCATAAGGGACAATATGGGCAATATGGTACGCATTGTAGTGTTTGTGATTAAGGGTACATCAATTAACATGTGTGGCAGGTTTTAATTGTACATAGGGTTACGGTCGTCTTCTAGCGTCGCACTGGAGGGTTACGGTCGTCTTCTAGCGTCGCCCTGGAGGGTTACGGTCGTCTTCTAGCTTCGCACTGGACGGTTACGGTCGTCTTCTAGCTTCGCACTGGAGGGGTACGGACGTCTTCTAGCTTCGCACTGGAGGGGTACGGACGTCTTCTAGCTTCGCACTGGAGGGGTACGGACGTCTTCTAGCTTCGCACTGGAGGGGTACGGACGTCTTCTAGCTTCGCACTGGAGGGGTACGGACGTCTTCTAGCTTCGCACTGGAGGGGTACGGACGTCTTCTAGCTTCGCACTGGAGGGTTACGGTCGTCTTCTAGCTTCGCACTGGAGGGTTATGGTCGTCTTCTAGCGTCACACTGGAGGGTTACGGTCGTCTTCTAGCTTCGCACTGGAGGGTTAGGGTCGTCTTCTAGCGTCACACTGGAGGGTTACGGTCGTCTTCTAGCGTCGCACTGGAGGGTTACGGTCGTCTTCTAGCGTCGCACTGGAGGGTTACGGTCGTCTTCTAGCTTCGCACTGGAGGGAATTTCCCTTTAGCTCAGTGGTAGAGCGTCCGACTAGGAATTTTGGAATTGCAGGTTTTATCCCTGTCACACTGTCATCTTTCCTGTTACATATGCACTTATTATAACATCTATTGAGGTTGTTAGTTAACAAGTTTCAGAATAATTGCTACAGCTCTTAATGTATGCAAGCATCTAGGTAAGAGGGACACGCCCGTTATAAATGGACACCACTGCTCTTCCGAAATTAACTGAATAAGAATTTTTGGAGGGTTGGTTTGGTTTTACGTCATATTTTATATAGCTAGGGTCTATATAGCCCAGAGCGCATATACTTAAGTGAGGTTATAAATGTACTATAAAAAAAGGAAATTTTTGTAATGCAGAAATGTTCAGGTTTTTTGCATTGGGTAAATTTGCACGAAAATATCCACATGAGAATATTTTGATCATGACAATACCTATATCTCAGAACAATTGCTTTAGCACAAAAGATTTTCACATCATGATAATCAGTTTAAGGGATCACAACCTGGATATTTCAACAATTGCTTTAGCACAAAAGATTTTCACATCACCCACAAAATTTCCACTTTTTACGGTATTTCAATCAACAATATTTTAAATTTTCACCCAAGATATTTTGAATATCTTGATAAGATTCTAGTAATTTTTTGATACATTTAATGTCATCAATTGTGTATGAAAAAAACTTCCACATACAAAAGTGGATAAAATACAGATTGACAATGGAAATCATTTTAACCTATGCGCTACTTAAGCTTAATTTAAGTCATTAAAGAGTGAGGGTTGACAGCTATACAGGTAAATCGGGGTGAATCCATTTTAGATGGTTTTCTGTTGAGTTTTAAACAGAAAAACAGGATATATTATTTAGAAACATATGAAACATTGTCTGGTACTACAAAGGTATTGAATTATGTCTTGTCATCACTTTAATTTTCTAGGGTTGTGATTTTAAATCCATCTTGAAGCATAACATTACTGTCCACAAAAAGATCCACTCAGAGGAGCGCCAGTTTAGATGTGACTTGTGTGAGGCAAGCTTCAAGTACAAGTCACAGTTAAATTGCCACAGGAAGACACACAATCCTGATAACCTCCCCTTCAGGTGTGACGTCTGTGAAAAAGCATTTCCTCGTAACTCCCTGCTGAATGTAAGTAACTGCATTTTGGACTTCGTGATTCAGGACTTTTATTTTGTTAATGTTGTTGTGGAGTGTACATTTTGGCATCATTACATAAAAACCACATATGATGACAGTGCATTATACGTTAACACTTCCAATATTTTGGTGATTTTTTTTGTAAAAGGTTATGAATATTTAAATGAACTGTAAGATATTCATAACAGCACTTCATATAGAAATTTTAATTTTCTTTTTCTTCTAATGCTAGTGTTACGTGTCAATTAATAACTCAGAACTCTTCAGAAGCATCCTTGTAACAAAATACACCATTTCCAAAATACCGAAATATTCCTAGAAAAACACTAAATTTGTAGTTACCAGGGTAAGTACTCGGGAAAGGTGTTTTATTTCCTGCATGTGTTGAAATAATGCAAAATATGGTGCTGGACATCATACTTGCCAACTCTCCTGATTTTTGACCCTAAAATTGAGCATTTTTAACAAGTGAATTTACTATAAACTATGCCTGTTTTCTATAACATCTAATGATTTCATCTGCAAGAACAGCTCAAAAGATGCCTTTTAAAAGTGTTGTTTTCCCCTTGGGTGTACATACACACATTTATGTTTTTTAATTCTGAGCATGCGTAATCTCCCCCATGGAAATTTTAAAAAAGTTGGCAAGAATGGGACACACTAATTTTGTTTTTTGACTTGAGGAATCTCCCTTATATAGAAGGTGAAGCAGCCAACAGGAGATTTGTCTGGCCTAAAGTAACTTGGTTCTCTTGCCATTCATGTATATCTTTCAATGTTAATTTTTCTTATCATAGACATGGAAGCCCACAATCTCATTTTGTTTTTGTTCATTTAAAAGTTCTAGTTGCAATGGCAACATGAGTAGAGCGTGTGCTCGGCAGTATGGGAAGGTCCTGAGTTTGATTCCTACAGTACAGTGTTCCTGTTATCTTATTAATCCTCTTATTGTGAAACTTCAAATTTCAAACAACATTAATTTTGTAAAATACATTGCAACATTTGCTTTTTATAGATTTTATTTTTATTTTTGAAAAAGGTCTTCAACAAATATCTCACATTAATTAGAGACAGTTGTAATACTATAGTTTTAACATTGTTGGTACCACTCTCAAAAATTTAATATACAGATTGTCTCCCTTTGGCCGTAATCCAAATGTCCTAGAGGAATATTGTACAGTTGAACACGGCCTTCCCATTTTATAATATGTGAATTGTTTATGATTCTCATCACACGCACTCGCAAATCTCATATATAAGGCTTGGTTTAAAAAATGAGACAAAGTTCAAGTCTTGTTGTCACAGGAACAATTCAATTTGCACAAACTATTATATCTATCTATATACATATTAATTGATGTTATCTGTGCAAATATTAAAAGCATTGTTGTTTTTAAAAGCATAATCCTTATAAACAGAGCTAGGGTAAAATCAGATGACTAGATCTATCAATTTAACTTTAACTTTACTTTTACACTTAAAATGCTGTCTTGGATGCAGGCCCATACTAAAAACGTCCATCAACGGGATGAACTTTGTCACCTCTGTCCATGGAAGAGTTCCTCTCGTCGAGAACTTCACATCCACCTTTTCCGTGTCCACAACATGCCTTTGCCTAAGAACTTCAAAATGTAAGTGCAAAAACTTTAATTGTTTAATTAACACGTGTTACAGGCCTAAATTGTGCACAACCCTGAAAGTACAGAATTTGAATTGTAATTATTTTTATATAAAATTTGATATTTAGCATCTTAGGTTCACATGATTATAGCCACTCTTAGACACTTGCACTACATGCTGTAGATATACAAATTCATTATGAAAAATCATGAATTTAATTAAAGATCGTGCTTGAATTGTCTTACCAAGCACTTACTGCTGGTCCTATGGCACCTGGCTAAATACCTTCACTTTACTTTAGGTGTGTCTGTGTGTATTCTGAAACTGAAAATCACCTACTCAGATAGTTCATTGGTTATTTTTTATTTAGTAACATGTCTTCTTTATACAGGGTTTGGTTAAGATAGGTTCTGCAAGCTAAACTGTAGATATTTAAGCATTTATTTAATCACTTAGGTTTGGTTGTTTTTATTGTAGATTCCAGTGCAATGTCTGTGATTACTACACTTTCACCAGTATTGGACACAGGAGCCATATGGACCTACACACTGGTGAGAAATGATGACTCCTTACCGTAAAAACCCATGTAATTTGCGCACCTATGTAATTTGCGCAGGTACTTTTTGAGGCTGAAAATCTGAAAAAAAGCTTCTACTCGAATATTTTGCGCACCCAAAAAAAAAATGGGAAAAAACGATGTTCATGCTCCAAAAAATCGATCTCTAATTTTTTTTTTTTATATTTCTTATTATTTTTTGTCATTGACGTAAAACGATATTATAAACCTAGAAGACTACTACGTAAAATGTGTATTTTGTTGTTTGTTTTCTTTTGATTATCTGATTACGCATAACACACACATGTGCGCATATCGCGAATGGCATGTTCATCAATTAATTTTAGCTACATTTTACATAAAACATTTACTTGCTTACAAAAACATACCAATTAATTAGTGTGAAAGTGTTGTAACAGCTGGTGCATATCTCCTGGTTAAAGACATAATTAGATACCTTTTAATTACCATAATTACGATAAGTGAGAAGGGCTCATCATTGCGGCTTGGGGATCGTCACTTCAAACCAGGTCATGTCACAGTTCAGCAATATTTTTTGGCCACACAATTTTTACCTACTGTAAAATTATTAAAATCGGTCATCTGTGGTCATGACTGCTGGTTTGGTGTCATTAACAGGTAAGTTAACAGGAGGGCATAACTTCAACAACATCGTCTGGTCCCGGACAATAGGCCAGGTAGGATTGCATGCTTCAGCGTCAATTATTGAAACTTCTCAACACTACAGTCAATACAAATTACAATGCAGTAATTAGCTAACACTATATCTGTGATTACCCATTAACAATAGCTATACTAATTGAAATTATTTGCAGTCACGATCGACGGACTGTGTTGTTTTTTTTTACATTCACCAACACGTGGCATGAATTACGAAGCCAGTTACTGCATTGTCATAACTACAGACTGATTTGACCGATAAGGGATTATAAAAAAATATGTTTATACTAGAAGCGTGGATAATCAATACATCTTCTTCAAAGCAGACTATTTTTACGATGCTTCAATGAACAAATGTGAAATAATTCACAAGGTTATTATCAATTATGTGTTTACGTAGTGTTAGACGCAAGATCAACATGAAAGATAACAGAACTTACATGAAACAGAGCTTAAATTGAACACCTACATTTTCGTAATAGTAGGTCTATGGGGAAAACGCACCGAGATGTCGAAACGAAAGTTGATCAGCTATTCTCTGGCATAGACAGGAATTTGGCTAAACTTTCTTTGTTAACAGTTACCTATTTAATAATACTTTTCACATAAACTCAGGTAACAACACAGTATGTATCAATTGTATCTTTTATTGATGTTTGACATAAATAAATGTGTTGATCGTCGTTTGTCTTTGAGTTCCGGGTACCTAGGGAGATTATCTCATGTCCAAGATGGCGGTCTGCCAGAATCGTCGATCTTTTCATGAAAAAACTTGAAATTGCTTATACCTATGTATTTTGCGCACCCCCCACTTTGGGTATTAAATTTCTGAAAAAAAAGTGCGCAAATTTTAATACATGGGTTTTTACGGTACTTCACTCGTCCACATTTAGCATAAATTAGACATATCAACCTTATCAAGACCAATCTATGATTATGCCATGGCTCGGTGTCCGTCCGTCGTATGAAGCATCCTTAGGGGATAGGGAACAAATTTGAGTATAAATGGCGGTCTGGCCCCTGAGGGGTAGGGCCCAATAGGAGAAATATAGCAAATTCTTTAAAATCCTTCTTCTCTAGGAATGAAAGGATTTGTTTCATATTTGGTCTGAAGCATCCTTGGGTGAAGGAGAACCAATTTTGTATAAACCGTGGGCCTGGCCCCCGAGGAGCCTGAGGGGCAGGGCCCAATAGGGGAACATATAGTAAATTCTTTAAAATCCTTCTTTTTATGTAGGAATGAAAGGATTTGTACCATATTTAGTCTGAAACATCCTTGGGTAAAGGGGAACCAATTTAGTATAAACCGGGGGTATGGCCCCTGAGGGACGGGGCCCAATAGGAGAAATATAGCAAATTCTTTAAAATCCTTCTTCTTCTATAGGAATGAAAGGATTTGTTCCATATTTAGTCTGAAGCATCCTTGGGTGAAGGAGAACCAATTTTTTATAAACCAGGGGTCTGGCCCCTAAGGGGCCTGAGGGGCAGGGCCCAATAGGAGAAATATAGCAAATTCTTTAAAATCCTTCTTCTTCTGTAGGAATGAAAGGATTTGTTCCATATTTAGTCTGAAGCATCCTTGGGTAAAGGGAAAACCAATTTTGTATAAACCGTGGGTCTGGCCCGTCAGGGACCTGAGGGGTGGGGCCAAAAAGGGGCAATTGGGCTATATTGATTTAAGCGACTTTTTCTCCGGTACTAAGAGATGGATATCAACCATATTTGACTGGAAGCATATCCCTTGGTAGTGGAGATTCAAAATTGTACAAATAGTTGGGCTGACCCCCCAGGGGGATGAGGGGCAGGGCCAAAAGGGGGCAATATGGCTATATTGCTACAAACGATTTCTTCTGTAGAACTATGCACTGGATATCAACCATATTTGACTGGAAGCATCCCTAGGTGATGGGGATTCAAAATTGTACGAATGGTGGGGCTGAGGGCGGGGCCAAAAGGGGGCAATTTAGCTATATTGCTATAAAACGACTTCTTCTGTAGAACTATGCCATGGATATCGATCATATTTGGTCGGAAGCATTCATGAGAGGCAGGGATTCAAAATTGTACAAATGGTGGGGCTGACCGTCCGGGCTGAGGGGTGGGGCCAAAAAAAGTTTATTTCTTGGAAATGGTTGAGATCCCCACCCCAAAACTATATATACAAATGCTGGGCATAAAGAGACGAATGCAGTCATGATATTAGAATAGACCCTGGGGTCTAACCGAACCCCTAGGGACCTAGTTTCTTAGTCACAGCTTGGAAACAGTTGAGATCCCCACCCTATAACCGTATATATACAATTGCTGAGTATAAAGAGATGAATGCACATATGCTTCCAGGATGGCCCTGGGGACTGCCCCATCCTTAAAGACTTAACCCCTGGGTCATAACTTTGAAATGGTTAAGATCCCCACCCCAAAACTATATATACAATTGTTGGGCATAAAGAGATGAACGCAGTCATGTTATTAGAATTGACCCCAGGGTCTGCCCCACCCTTGCAGACTTAACCCCTGGGTCATAACTTTGAAACGGTTGAGATCCCCACTCAAACTTTATATACAAATGCTAGGCAAAAAGAGACAAATGCAGTCATGATATTTGAATTGATCCTGGGGTCTGGCCACAACCATAGGGACCTAGTTTCTGAGTCACAGCTTGGAAACAGTTGAGATCCCCACCCCATAACCATGCATTAAATTGCTGGACATGAAAAATCTAATACAGACATACTACATGAATTGGCATTGGGGGCTTAGATATTCAGTTGAGCGATACAGGCCCTCTGTTTTTTTTATCTGTTTACTGGGGGTTAACATCCTCACAACTCAAGCGAAGGCGGTTGCTAAGGGACACACGGTTGAAAGGAAAGAATAGTGAAGTAAGAAAATAAAGAAAAGATATATATCCCAAGTGTTACCATGGGGCCATCAGATTAATATTAGTTTCTCCAATGTCTCGGTTGAAAGGAAAGAATAGTGAAGTAAGAAAATAAAGAAAAGATATATATCCCAAGTGTTACCATGGGGCCATCAGATTAATGTTGGTTTCTCCAATGTCCACTGAGCTGAAGTCACAGAAGAATTTAAGAAACTCTGATTCTACAGGGGGCCCCACATGACCTGTATGTTACAATAACATGCAGTGGGATACACCAGGCCAAAGTCTCCCCGAACCTCAAGGAGTTTTCTATGTAATGATACAGTCATCGCTCAACTGACTTTGTTCCTAAACGGAATTTAATGAAACTTGATACAAGTGTTTGGTATGCCAATATCTTGAACAAGTCGTGTTTAGGGTTTCTACGTTGAAGTTCAAGGTCACTGTTACTTTTATAAGAAAAAACTGTCATCACTCTGGTGACTTCATTTCTCAATGGAATTTCATAAAACTTCATACAAGTGTTTGATTTAGCAATCCCTGAAGAACTTAGCGTTTCGGGTTTCTATGTTGAAGGTCAAGGTCACTGTTACTATGTTTTGAAAAACTTTGTCATTACTCTATCGACTTCATTCCACAACAGCTTAATCTATTATCCATCGAAGAATGCAGTCACTACAACAGATGCTGATACATCATTGAATTTTCTATTCATTTCCTCATATATATGTCGCACAGTGTGTGAATACGAGGGGATTTGTATAACTTGTGATGCCTTGTTTATGTGTCAGACTTACAGCAAAGTCCAGATTTTTTTCCCTTATTTAACACCTTCTTGTTTCAAATTTCTTGCTGTTTCAAACTGCAATGAAGGTCGAATCATTACTGGAGAATGGGGTCATTTTAACTCGTTCACTCCTGAATTTCATAATGAAATATTCTAACCTTTGAATTGGAAGAGTTCAAATGTTTCTTTCAGTTAATACCTTAACATGCTAACTATAGTGCATAAATACATAAAAGATATTTTTTCTATCCACAGTTATTAGTCCCCTGCCGGTGAAACCAGGGGGGACTATAGGTTTTGTCTGCGTCCGTCAGTCCGTCTGTCCGATCGTTGCCAAAATCTTCAGGTTAAAGTTTGGGTTAAAGTTTTGGTTAAAGTTTTGTAATGGCTTCCCATTCACTTAATAATGATGTTAGGATGCTGATTCTTGGCATAAAGGTTCTGTAGGGGTCTAGCATTAATGCTGTGGATTGAAAATGGAAAATAATTTTATTTTTTGGGGAATTTTTGACATGTTTTGGACTTAACTATCCTGGCCAAAATCTTCAGGTTAAAGTTTGGGTTAAAAGTTTTGTAATGGCTTACCATTTGCTTAATAATGATGTAAGGATGTTGATTTTTAGCATAGAGGTTCTTTAGGGGTCTAGCAATAATGCTGTGGATTGAAAATGGAAAATAATTTTATTTTTTTGGGAATTTTTGGCATGTTTTGGACTTAACTATCCTGGCCAAAATCTTCAGGTTAAAGTTTGGGTTAAAGTTTTGTAATGGCTTACCATTCGCTTAATAATGATGTTAGGATGCTGATTCGTAGCATAGAGGTTCTTTAGGGGTCTAGCATTAATGCTGTGGATTGAAAATGGAAAATAATTTTATTTTTTGGGGGAATTTTTGACATGTTTTCGAATTAACTATCCTGGCCAAAATCTTCAGATTAAAGTTTGGGTTAAAGTTTTGTAATGGCTCACCTTTCACTTAATAATAGTGTTAGGATGCTGATTTTATGTACAGAGGTTCTTTAGGGGTCTAGCATTAATGCTGTGGATTGAAAATGGAAAATAATTTATTTTTTTAATTTTTGACATGTTTTTGACTTAACTATCTTGGCCAACATCTGCAGGTTAAAGTTTGGGTTAAAGTTTTGTAATGGTTCACCGTTCACTTTATAATATTGTTAGGATGCTGATTTTATGGACAGAGGTTCTTTAGGGGTCTAGCATTAATGTTGTTTAGTGAAAGTGAATAAATAATTCTTGTTTTTTATTTTTGACATGATTTGGACTTAACTATCTGGCCAAAATCTGAAGGTTGAAGTTTGGGGGGCCGGTAGGGGACATGTGTTATTCATCAATACCCACAGAATGCTTGTTACAATAGATTTCATTTTTTTTTTACCTTGTATGCATTTAACCATCACATTCAGCCTTAGGCAGTAAGTTCAGTATTCGTGAGGGGAAGTCACAAGTCTCAATGATACTTCTCTTGTGTTTATTGAATGTGTTAATCTACAGGTGTGTGTATATATACAATCTTTTATCTAACAGGGAAGAAGTACCAATGTAAGGAATGTGGCAAGTTTCTTGGCACAGAAATGCGGCTGTATGTCCACGAGCGCAAACACAAAAGTATGTGATCGGTGAATGTAGTATTGTAAAGATAGTCACATTAGTTTGACATTCACAGAATTTTTCAGATGAAGAAAATCAATAAAAAGAACCATAATCTTGAGTAATAATATCGAACCTTTCTGGTAACATGATTTTTTCTGCATTCAACTTTAATAGACATTGCTGTTTAGGTTTAATTGTCAATATCTCTATAGCTATTCATTGATTTTCTATTTTGTGCTATTTTGCTTTGAATTATTAATGCTTGATATACAGGTAGTGTACCAGACTGAGGGGTATGTGGATTTATGATATAGGAGGCAGAGTACCTAGAGAAAAGCCATCAACCTGCAACCATGCAGTACCTGGCGACTGCTTGAGAGGCATCCAGTTTGTAATGATGCAATCATGGCCACTTAATATAAATCTTGTTTTATTTGATGTTAAAAGTCACTTGCATCATTACAAACTGGATGCCTCTCAATCAGTGGCCAGTTACTGCACGGTTGCATGTTGATGGTTTTTCTCCAGGTACTCACGCTTTCCTCCACCACCAAAACCTGACAAGTCCTTTAATGACAATAACTATTAATAGGACTTAAAACACAAGAAACCAAACATATCGGTCCACTTGATGGTGTAGCATGTCAAAGATCAATGTTTCTGTCAATATCGATTACAATTATAGTTCCAGTTGATGCAAAAGCAACATTCAATGTCCCTACATTTACATATAGACATAGGGTATATCAGAAATACCTGTAAGTCACATTTTAAGGTCAGAAGTTAAGAGGTCAAGATAACTATATAACAGGTATACTTGTCAGGGTTGCTAAATGTTTGTTGTATGTGGTACATGTGTACTATATTGTACAGTAGTTTTATCCTGGTCATTATGCAAAGCATGTACACCATTTATTGGCAGATGTTTGAGTAATATTTACATTTCTACTGAACTTGGACTCAATATACCTACTTAACATTTTAAAGGTTATTTTTCAATGAAATTTTTAGTTGGCATATGAATACATCAGCATATTATCAGTCTCAAGACCCATTGAGGTTTATACCCCATAAACATAAACAAAACAGGATTCAATCCTTAAATAGACTGTTAAGACATATTCAATAAGTTTTGATGCCTTTGTATCTTCATTTCAGCTGATGTGAAATTTAAATACTGCTCCTACCCTGATTGTAGCTACAAAAATAAGTCAAAAGCTTCATTGAAAATTCACCAGGACGCAAAACATTCTGTAAGTTGATTAAGGATCCCTTTCCCCCTACAGGAAAAACACAAAATAATTCCACTGCAGTTTTATGTATGTACAGTGATGAACTCCCCTAAATTTCTTTTCTGTGTATAAATTGCACAACTGGACCATTAAGCTACCATTTACCAGGTAGCTCAGTTGGTTAGAGTGTCAACTCCCTGGATTGTGGGAGAAGGGACTAGGGTTTGAATCCTTGCCTGGCAATGTTGTAGTTTTACCCTCAGAGCAATGTTTATTTCCTCCATTCCGTACTTGACGTAATAAGTGCACTGTTTGCTTACAAACACGTAAGAGAAGTGTGATTAATAACTATTCAGTGCTCACACCAGCCACTTAGCCATGTTGGTGTTATGGTAGTGAGTCATGTTTCTGCAGGGACTGTGGTAGCCAAGTGGTTAAGGTATGTGTTATTCTGCTACCACTAGCCCTCCCCCCACCATTTGGTAACATGGCTTCGACCCTGCACCTGGTGAAATAAGTAGCAGTCAATAAAAGGCTTTGCATGCTTAAACTTGACGTAAATATAAGTCATTGGAACTTTTAATCTGTTCATTCCAATATAGTTAAAATATTTATGAAATTAAATGACTTCAATTTTAACCAGTTTTTCCAACAGATTGTGTCATCGTAACTCTTTTTTTATGGCCAATGAGCTTTTTCGATTGCATATCATTGCACATTCATTTTTCATCACTCTAGACTAGCTACTGCCTTTATTTTTATTTGATATGTGGCTTTACTACCTTTATTTCTATTTAAATAAGTATATAATTGATATTTGTTTTGCCAGGACTATAAACCATTCCTGTGTCACATATGTGACTTTCGCTGTAAGGTGAAGGGTAACCTGGACAAACACCTGCGTGGTCGTCACAACATGGAGGTGATGACTATCACCAAACTCTGGGACAAAGTCATGACAACTGGTCAAGGTTACAACAGCATCGTCCATCGGCTCAAATCTTTCAAAAGTAGAGGGGCTATTGGCATGGCAAACGAAGGAGACTCAGAGACAGAAATGGATCAAAATCTCATAATTAGGAAGGAAAGTAAGATAGACAGTACTCCAGAAGGGTCAGATGGACTCACTGGCCTTGTTGTGCAGGAGGGGACATACACACAAGCAGACGCATTTGTAGATGGTGACAGCTATAAACAAATAAAGCAATGTTTGGCTGAGGAGGATTACACTGGAATTCATGTAACAATTGGAGAAAGAGGCTGCACACAAATGGTGACAGCGGTGGGAGAGGGTGATAACAAACAGCAGGACCTGCAGCATACAGCAGACAATGAAATATTGTATTCAAATATAGGCATTTCCTTAAGTGCTAATGGATCAGATCAATTTGCATTGGGTTTCAATCAGAATTTTTAACCTTCATTAATATATCAATTATTTGCCAGATACAATTATTGAGCAACATGTGAGGATATTGAGCATGGACAGAATATTCGGAACGATAAATGCTGATACATATTGTAATAGACATTTTCGAAGGATGCATGATCCCATCAGCTTTTCTGCATTTTCTTGCTTGTTTTATCCACATGGCTGATCAAGACGTTTGATTTCAAGGGAAAGTTTCAAAACATACAATTTTGAATGTGAATACCATATCAGCTACCTCTGCAGACAAAACACTGGAGAATTATTAGAAATTACGATGGCTTATTCCGCTTTAGGGAATAAATACGACATATTCTTGTTCATTTTAGCGCAACTTGCCCAAAGGGCCATATGAGTTTACACCATGGCACTTTGTCTGTTCAACACCTTTATCTTTAATTTGCAAGTTGTCCACTGAATGGGGTCTGGAACATTGTTAGGCCAAGGGGACTTGAATTTGAACGAATTGAGGGTGTGGCAGAGGCAAAGGAATATTTACATACGCGTAAACCTTCTCGCCTGTACAAAAAGGTGGGGTTTTTTTCAAATTTTATTTGCAGCATCCTTTGGCAAATTGAATTCAGTTTTGTATATAAAGAGCGTGTGGTTTTAATGAGAGAAAAGGGGTTGTGTCCAATTAAAGTACAGGTCAACCTTAAATCTATCTGATATACCAAACAAAGAGATTTTAACCAAAATTGCTTTGGACCATGTTTTGGCCAAGGTGACTCGATATGTTTAGTAAGTGTGCCTACACCTTTGAGATTGTTTTGGTATCAAGGTGGAAAGACATGCCACATATCTAACATAGTATATAGAATACATTTATAAAATGCAATACCTTTATATGCGAAATAAATCAAGGACTGTATTTGGAATGGAATTGTTCGATCATTAATACACAGAGAGGCTTAGAAAAAGTGTTTCCCTTTTTCTCCTTTCCTCTACTGCCTTCTGAATGTTTTCATTGGTTTCGAAATCGAGTTCAACTCCGAGATATAGCTCATAATTCATTTCATTTATTTGAAATATCTTGCTTCGGACTAGCAAAACCTTTTGCATTCTAACTTTTGGACCTTTGAGATACCAGACCTCTGGACTATTATGTATTCTGACTATTAGACATTCGGAATACAAGAGGTTTTGTACTATGAAGCATTCTGACTACTTTACTTTGCGGCTGCAAGACTGTCGGACTATTAAACAGTCTGACTAGGGTCAATGGGATGCTAGACTTTCGGACTATGAAGCATACTGACTATTGAACCCTCTGGATACCAGATTCTCAGACTATTAAGTATTTAGACTAGTGGACTGATCGTTATGGAATAAAGTGAGATAAGAAAGAAGAATTAATTTCAAACATGCTGCATATTTCCTTCAGTGTTTCCCCCGATAACTGAAATTATTTTTTAATTTCCTTATGGTCGACAATGTGACTCTCCCATGTTCATGTACACTATTACACTTGATGTCAAGTCCGTTTAATGCATAATATATATATTTACCAAAATCGAGGGGGGTAATGGATCTGGACTTCATTGTCATAACACGCCAAACATCCACAATATAGAGGGGAAAAAGTAGGAAAACAACGGCCTTTCAGTCCGACAGTTTATTTTTACATACTGTAATATATGAGGGAGCATCAATACACCTCGTGTTATGATGTTCTCACCTCCGCCCATTGACTCACTCGCTCGTGTTAAGAATGCTAGCACTAATTGCAGCAAATAAATTACAAATCTGATACCTAGGTTTGTTGGGTCACCCTATTTAACAAATAGGTACGGTTAATGCATCTTACGATAATTTAGGCAAGGAGCTTACTTTAAGCATACCAAATTCTTGTAAAGTATTGGATACTTATATGCATAGGCCAGTACATTTAAAACATTCATTTTAAACTGGTTAAATCCGTGACATTGTTTTTCCTGTTAATTTCGATATTGTCATTACGATTTACGAGAGTGAGATATAAGATTCTTATTAATCAAAGAATAAACGTCATCATCACAAATAAAATTATTTTTGTTATTGTTTCTTATACCTGCCAAGTTATTAATTACGTTAGCTTCCTCCTATGACATGAATGTACACCCATAAAATGAATCTTGGTTATGTATTATTGTTATTATTATTATCAATGCTTAACGGCCCATCAACACAGGAAAGGTCAATGGGGCCAATAAGCTGTCGACAAAAACAAATGCAAAATAAAGACATCAAACAAACTTGAAGGTAAAAGACAAACGTCAATTTGAATATTGACTCAAATTTTATTAAAAAGACAAACAGCTTTCAGATAGCCTAAATTTGAAGCGGCAGTTTCGAAAAGAGATTTAAGACATGTAATGTTATTATAGAAATTTTCTCGGGTTGACTGAAGGTCGACACAATCTTATAACAATGTTTTACTGTAAATGGTTCATGACACGCTATGCATTGAGGCTGGTCAGTAAATAACAATGGGTAATACATGAATGGTTGTTATTAGGTTGGGTAAACCTTCGTGAATTATATAAAACACATATATGCACCTATGGACAAAATAAGGTGGTTTTGTCGTTACCAGGATAGGTTTGGTTTGGTTTAATTTTGTTTAACGTCCTATTAAAAACTAAGGTCATTTAAGGACTTACCTCCATGTGTGTAGTGTATGCGTGCTTGCGTGTGTGTATGTTGGTGTGCTCGCCTCCTTCCTGGTGATAGCGCAGATCTGATGCCGACTTTATAGTGCTATCTCACTGAAATACTATGTCGAAGGCACCCAACACAGCATTCCGCCCGGTCACATTATACTGACAACGAGTGAACAGTTGTTGCCATTCCCCTAAATGCTGAACGTTAAGCATGGAATTACAACTACCAGTTTTAAGGACTTTGGAGTGTAACAGGATAGGACAAGGCATACACTGTACATATAGCCTTACAGCTACATATATACTACTCACATTTTGCTAAGGATCACTTTTATTTTTGGGCATACAACTGTATGTGAAAATAAATATTTTATTTGGTTTATACTAAAATATCTTTTTAAAATTGATTTTTCTTTTAATCAGCATGCAAAAATTCCAAAAATCGTAATTACAGTTGGAAAACGAGCCACAGGATAAGGGTTTCCCTTAAAATTTGTAACAACGAGGTATTCACCTAAAAACTTAACGTGAACAAAACTCATCCTAAATAAACAGAAACTGTTTTAGTATCGAGTTTGACGCCCATGATCATCAATTACAGCTTCACAACGTCTGTGCATTCCCCGAATGAGATCGCGTATCCGGTTTTGTGGGATAGCGTTCCACTCAGCTACCAAATCTCCTGGAGCGTTCTTGGCTGACCATTTCTGGCAGAGAGAGCTGTCTGCAGCATGTCCCACACATGCTCGATGGGATTTAGATCCGGCGAGCGGGCAGGCCAATCCATTCGTTGAATAGTCTCTTGCTGTAGATACTGCTCAGTCACCCTTGCTCTATGTGGCCTACCATTATCGTCCATAAGGATGAAGTCAGCGCCGATAGCGCTAGCGTAGGGTCTGACATAGGCATCAAGGATTTCATCGCAGTAACTCTGGGCCGTAACGGTACCATTATGAAAGACATGGAGGTCAGTATTCCCGCGAAGGCTTATGCCTCGCCACACCATCACTGAACCCCCAAGCTTCTCCTTCAGCACAAAAAGTGATCCATGATTGACAAGATATACATTCACTATGCACATTTAGAGTATGTAAAGCATATATATTCATCAAAATTACCCCAAAGTACTTTAAAAGTCCTAGCGATCATAATTTTAATAAAGACCATACAACCTTTTACGGAAATATGGAGATGAACCATACTATTAGTCCTGTAGCTCGCTGTGTTAGACTATGTACTTTGGCATATAAATGGCATATACATGACCTCTTCATACTTTCAAGGTTTCATGCCGAAAACGTCATAAATATCAACAATATCAGGTGAGCCTATGTATAGAGGAATGTTTTTCGATAACTGTGTCTGCTCCAAAACCGATCCTCTTTCCTTCGAGAACCCATATATAGAAAGGAAAATTATCTTACAATTCAGCAAGTTAAGACGGATTCCTGCTAGGTAAAACCTCACTTTTGGCTTAAATGTTGAGCGTTCTTCCAAGTGGAGTAGGGAATGGGGTCTGTCCCAAGGACGGGACATTAAGTCCTTAACAAGGGTAGTCGTTATTCCCTATCAAATAGAAGAGTTTCTTTCTTGTGCTGTTTAATATCTAAATGCTGTCGGAAAAGGTAAAACTGTGTGACTAGTTGATTATGAATAATGCAAAGAGCAAAGTGCCAAGTATATATATATATTAACTCTATCGCCATTAAACTGTCAACGTTTCTCATCTCATTTGCATGCAACAATTACGTTGATGATGGATGTTTTCCTGCTGAGTACAGGTAAGTTGTCACTACCAACAGTCAATTGTGTATTCCTATATTTTCCTGCCTAATTACCGTAGGATGACAATAATGCACTCGTGCATACAAATGTGTATGTGTGTTAGCAGGTATGATTGAAATTGCGGTGTAATTCTTGTGATCTTTGTTGATGATAATGAATCGATGATGTATGGATGATGAGGTCATGATGATTTTTATTAGCTCACCTGGTCCAAAAGACCAAGATGAGCTTATGCCATACCGTGGCGTCCGTCGTCCGTCCGTACGTCAACAATTTCTTCAAATGACTTCTTTTTAACCACTGATTGCAATTTAACTAAATATACTGGAAGCATCCCTGGGTTGTGGTGATTGAAAAGTGTACAAATGATCAGGAGAGGCGGGGCCAACTAAGGGTAATTTGGCATTTTTACTTTAAACAACTTCTTCTCTTGAACTAAGAGAAAGATATCAACCATATTTGGTTGGAAGCATTCACTGGTGGTGAGGATTCAAAATTGTACAAATGGAGTTGCTGACCCCCAAAGTGGCTCTGTGAGGGGCCAACTAGGGGTAATTTGTCTATATTACTTAAAGCGACTTCTCTGGAATGAAGAGATAGATATTAACCATATTTTGTTGGCAGCATTCTCCTGTGGTGAGGATTCAAAATTGTATAAATGGTGTGGTTTACACCACAAGGAAGTGAGAGGCGAAGTGAAAGAGATAAGCACAATCATGATAAAAGAATCGAGCTTAAAGTTTTGCCACACCCCTAGGGATTATAAGTTCTTGGGTGAAAACTTTGAAGCAGTTGAGATCCCCATCATATTACCGTATACATGTAATTGCTGTATTGTAGTATAATACACATGTGTTACCAGGATGGCTCTTTGTTTACCGCACCATTCCACCATATAGTTCATATAGTTTCAACTCATGACTATGAAAAGATTGTGATCCCCACTCCATAACCATTTGCTAACTTTCTAGGCGTAATGAGGTTTATACCAATGCCATAGCTGCAGTGTAGGCAACTGACGTACACATAGATTTCACAATAATACAATTATTTGTCAATAAGATGTATTATTGTTGAATTACCATTCATCTACGTAATTATGAGTGTTTAAATTAAATAAATTCTGTTGGAGGGATCCCCGGACTTTTCTTAAAACGAATAAAATGAAATACAAATATGAATAAAATCATCAAATTCATTTTAATACCTTGTCTGGATAATTTCTGTTAGTATAGTATAGTATGTTGCGTGTATAATAAATTCTTTTTTGTTTATAAAATTATACATGTATGTGTATCTTGTCACTTTCTTTGTTCAAGCCGGTTGTTTGATTTCTGCTGTAATCGTTCTATCACGTGCATGCATGCACATACATGTTTTACGAAATGACCCAAAAACTTCGTTGGTAGGAGCCTGACAAAATTTCAGAACGAAAATGACCTTGACCTAC